CATTAGTTGATACCAATTGATTATCCTATATATCATTTTTATCTCTATTATATATAGAATATACCTTCATATACACTATTAATAGTTCAACTTTTTTCCATATTTTCTTTAATTCGTGCTTTCAACAACGAATTTTTAAAAGTATCTTTCGGTCGTGTTTTTTTAAGTACTTTATTCAATACATGATACACCTCTTATGTACATTTTACAGAATATTTATAGAAATACCGCTTGATTCTTTAAATCATAAGCAGACTTTAATACATTTTTAACAATACATAATGAGTTTGTGGATCCTATTATAGTTTACTGTTTCTCTTATAATATATTATAATTATGAATCATTCTGTATGATTATTAAATGGTAGTTTATATAATATAATGTATAATTGTATCATATTAGTTATATTATTATACAATTACAAATCTCATATATCATTGAAATACTCAATAGACAATAAAATTTCTACTATCATACATATTTCCACTCTTCATGGTTTTTTCATTTTTATATTTTCTTCAAATACTATAAACTATTCAAAATATTTAGTTTTATATTTTTCATTAAATGCTGATATTCTTCTCGATATCCCGGTCTTTTAATTTGTATCTGTTTTATCAATATTAAACCTATATGATTTATTAAAATATATTATATTCATAAATATTTTTAAAGTGAACCTTGATATTCCTCCATACATTGTTCATTCATGATAATTCTTTAGGCTTCTGTTTATGCTGTCTATGAGGATCAAAGGGCTTATTCCATTTAATTTCCAATAGGTTATTCACATTTGTATAATAAGTATTAAATGAGCAAATAAATAAAGGTAATGTATAATAATATGTACTTATTTTACTAATTATAAAATAACTTTTAGAGAAATATTTATATATGTTTATATAAGGAGATTAAAATACTTAATATGAGTCATTACATTTCAAATGACTTTTAAAACCTAATAATAATATATATATTAACTCAATATATTTTATTATTCTTTTATATTTTCTTTAATTAAAAAAAAGTTTATGTAATTCCAAAAAAATCTCAAAAAAAAATAATTATAATTTACTCAGCATATCTCATCAATAATAAATCATATACCACTACATATAAAATTATAATTCATAAAAATGTAATTTTTCATGGTAATATATCACGCTATATTTTTCAAAAAAAAAATAATTATCATTTATTAAAAAACATCTTCTAAAAAAAAGTTTATTTAAAAAGTAATATATATATATATATTTTATATAACCTCTTGCATAATTAAACATCTAAAAATTTTAAGCATATATTTTATTAACAAATATAAAGTATCTATAACACTATTTATAAACCTCTTTACAAATGTATGCTTATAACTTTATTTTTTAATAATTTAATAGATAACAAATATAACTGATAGTTTAATTTCATTATAATTAGATTTTGTCAAAAATTAATTTTAGAGTTAATTTATTTAATAATATCTCAATATTATAATATAAATAAAATTTTTTTAAATTATAAATGTATTAATTGAAATGTTATAGTAATTTAAAATTAAATTTCAATAAGGTTAAATAATTCAAAGATAATAAAAAGTGTCTTTACATTTTTAAAAATATTCCTAGTTTATTTTAAAAAATTTCTTTTTATTAAATTATATATATATATATTAAGTATTTTTAAATTAAATTTTTTTTATTTTACTTTTTAATATCTCCCCAATAAAAAAAAAAAATTGTATTATATATCCTCAGAATTGTTCATTCATCATCCTATGCAACAGTAAAAATTAAACTCATTATAGATGAATTCTTTTTTTGTAATTATATTAATGTATCTTCAATTATTTTAAGATAATTAAAAATGTTAATTTTTGAATAAAACAAAAATTTAGATTTATAAAAATGTAATCTAAAAATTTTAATTTTTTTTTTTAGTAGAGTTTCTTCAATTTTTAATAAGAATATATATGAACTTACATATTTTCATTTTTATTAGAGAACAATTAAATTTTTGCTAAAACAAATCTAAATATGTTTTTAAATAGAATATTTATAACTACGTATCTTCATTAAATGAAACTTTTATCTGTTTTTAAAATAAAATATGTATAATATATTTTTACGAAATATAAATCATATATTTTATAAAATAAAACATAAATTATATATATTCCTATAAATTTTTAACTTAATAGAATATCTAAAAATAACATATGAAAAAATAATTTAAAACACTAATCTTGTAGTAATAAAAATATCATTAGCAAATAATATAAGAATTTATTCATACTAAGATAAAAAATATAGTATTTATGTTGATGTTTAAAAATTAATATATCTTATATAACATTTAAGAAAAAAGGAAAATATATTCAAAGTAATATAAGAAAAATGCATATATATATATATATATACTGATATTGTTTAATTGCGCAAATCCTTTTCAAAAGAAGAGAATAAAATTTTGTTTGAATAAATTTACTATTACTTAGAAATTATTTTTACACTACTATATTACATATATTTTTTATTCTTATATTCCCTATTTAATAATTGTAAATATATTTATCTAGAAATGCAAAATTTAACAAATAATGCAAATATATCTTTATTATCAATCACATTTATGAACTAGTGTTGTTGGCAACTTTGAATATAAAAAAAAAAATTTCCTTATATGTTAAATAAAACATAATTTTTTTTTATTATTTTATTTGTTTTTGTTATTCAAATAAATTATTATTCAGAAAGAAATATAACTTTAAAAATTTCACTTTAAAAATCTAAGAAAAATTAAAAATTACAAAAAATAAATAATAGAAATGTATACTTAAAATTAAGAAAGCATACTATGCTAGTTATTCTTAATTCTTATTAACCAATTAATATCCAAAGAAGTTACACAAAATGTTATATTAGTCATGTTATCAGATATATTTAAAGATATCAATTATCTATCTTGATTTTTATTTTCCTTATATTAAAATAATAATAATGATTCTTTTGTTAAATGTCTATATGCTCCATATAAGAAGTTATATTATATAAAAATAAATATAATAAAAATAAATGATTTCATTAAGACATTATGATCCAAAATTCAAATAGATAGAGCATTGTATAAAGAATATTTACGTTTTAATTTTTTACAAAGTGTATAAATAATATGTTAATAAGAATTTTATATATATCGGAAATATATAATAATAGCAAATATTCTCATTTCATTAATACATAGTTTATTTCTGTGTGTAATTCAAAGTAATATTTTTTTCTTATGTTATAAAGATGCATTTTATCATTTTTTAATATATCTTACATTAACTAAAAAATTTCAATTATTTTTTATAAATAATATTGGAAGTAAATTTAAATACTTATGAAATTTTTGTTATGTTATAATTAATTTTAATAATAATAAAAATTAATTTAACCTTCAATATTTTTATAAAGCTGAAAAATTTTATTTTATCTTAAATTTTAATAAATCCTATTCGATTTTTAATTCTTCGACAAAAAAAAAGAAAATATATTATTTCCTTATAAATAATAATTATTTTATAAAAGATAATATAATATTAAACTTGCAAGATTTGTACAATAAATCATATTGTTTCTTCATTTTTTTTAATAAATAGATAAAACAAAAATTTTTAATTCATAAATAACGCATAAAAAGTTAACTTTTTCAACTTTAACTAGAATAAAGTTGTTTCTCCATTCTCTCATGATTTTTTTTTTAATTTTATATAGAAAAAAGCGTGAAAAATTTTGCAAAAAAAAATTTTCTTAAAGGAACAAAAATAATTTTTAGAAATTCGCAGAACAATACATATTAAATTTTTTTGAGAATATGGTAAATAAAAAGTATAAAAAAATTCATAGGAACAAAAACACAACTTCATATATTGATATCTTTCACTAATAAAAATTAAAGTTTATCATGTAAAATTTTTAAACACTGATAGCATTAGTATTATTAAAATTTTTATTTTAAACATATCTTTTTTGTAAATTTTTTTTTATATTTTTTTTTTTTCAAGTTTTAAAATATTTGTGAAAAACAAAGTTACAACAAAAATATTCTCTTTATAGATTTTCATTAATCAAATATGTTTTGTTAAATAAAAAACTATATAATTAAAATTACCAATGTTTATCATTTGATAATAAATTATAAGACAAAATAGTCTTATATTAGTTAAATACAGAAAATATATGAGAAAAAATGTTTAAAAAATTATCTTTAATTAAATCCACTAAATTAAAAAATTTAAAAATAAGTTAAATTTTTATTGCACTTAAATGCATATTCCACTAAACCTTTTTCATAAATGGAAATTATATTTAATTTATTTTTAATTAAAAAGTTATATTATAAGCATATTTTAGTTTTCAATTAACTTTATCATACATACATGATGAGGGATTTATATGCTTATTATATACTATATTTCTGAATTATATGTCTTCACTCTGAAAACAATATTTAAAGAATATTTTTTTTTAATGAAACAATCTACATCCTCGTACAACAAATATATTGAGTGTAAATATATTATAAAGATTTGAAAAAAAAAGTATATATATTTTAATGATAATAAACATGTTAATTATTTTTCCTCTCTCGTCTCTTTTGTAATCCTAATTAGCTTTAGTTTTTGTGTTTTAATATATCAATAATTTAAATTTTTAATTTTTTACATACTATTTTAATGATTTTTATCAAGAAATTTACAAAATAATGTATAATTTATTAGAAAACGATTTCCTTTTTTATAATTCTTTTTACAAAAACTCTGTTAATGTTTTAAAGTTATTTTTATATAATAAAAATTTTTCTTTACTCCTTTAATACAATTTTTTATTTGATCACATACTTTTATTTATATATATTATTTTTTGTATCTTATTATTTCATCTTATGCAACCATTTAGATAAAATTTTTATAAAAATCTGTACATACAAAATTAAGGAAATATAAGTATTCCTCATTGCAATGGATAAATATTTGTTTTATTTTTCTTGTATTTACTTAACTTTATACGTAGTAATATGTAAACAATTAGAAAATCAAAACATTGTGGTTTTTCCACAATACAGCAATTTAGGTAAACAAAATTAAATAAAACGATTTGTATTTTTTCATAAAAGAAATTAATATATAATCTATATTACAGTGGATACACAGTTTTTTAATTTTTAATATATATAAAAATTCATTTAATAAATAATTTTACTATTTTTGTATTAAAAATTTAGTGAAACATATTATATCTCGTGTGATTTATAAATTAATGAAGAATAATATATAGTTAGGATCGTATTTATATAATGTTTTTCTTATTTTATATGAAGAATAAATAATTTAATTATTTCATAAGATACTTCCTTCTTCCTTCGATTATTTTATTTTATTTTTATTTTATTATTTATTTATTTATTTATTTTTTATATTTAATCTTATTAAAATAGTTTTAAAAAAATTATCTAAATCAAAAAGTATTATTTTTCTCCTCGAATAAAATTTTTATATTCTTCAGGAAATTATTTTAAAGGCAAAGATATACAAAGTAAGCATAATTTAAACTTAAGTAAGGGATCTAAATATAATGAATATTCTTTGGTATCTTTAAAGGCTAGTTCTATATTTAATCAGTATTATGTTGCTAGGTTGATCAATACACTTTTATATAGAGGATTCAAGACATGTAAAAAATTAAAATAATATAAAATTTCTTTTTTTATTTTCCTTTATATTTTTTATTAAAAAATGACATTTCTTAGAAAAATATTGTATTAAAAATAAATTATATTTTTAAATATTATTAATTTTTTTCAGTTGGAAATTTTCATCGCAATGTAGCTATGTACGAATCTCTTTCTAGAACGAATTACTTTTTTTATTTAACTGTATTGGATAGAAAAAATGTAAAAAATATTGTTAAGTTATTAGAAAAAGCCTCCAATTCAAGTAATAAAGAAGAAAAATTAAATAATTAATGAAAGTTTATACAATTAAAATATAAGCATTTCTTATTTTATTTTAATTTAGAGAGAAAATATGAAATATTTAAAAAGTATTTAATTTCACAATTTGATTACCCTGCCTTCGAAATAAATGATGCTATTAAAAATGAAATGGATCAAGCACTTATAGTATATAGAAAAGCAAAAAGTTAGAGGATAAATTAATTGAAAATGTGAAACTTCATTTTTTAAAAACATATATATATATATATATATATATATATAAATATATTTCTGCCTAAATTTTTTTTTTGTTAGCTGATTCATATTGGAGTCTTGTTGATGCAGTGAAGGGTGATGGTATGTTATTAATTAAAACATTTTTCACTGTATCTTTTGTTCAAAGTCTTAGGGGAGTTATTGGGGTTATAAGTCATGAGCTATTAGACGTATGTTTTGCTAATGCTGCTGTATTTAACCATATAGCATCTTTTGATAGACTTTTTATGAACAATACTTTTGGAGCAATAGTAGGATATGTTTTTAAATCATTTTTGCTTTTTTTTTACCCATTAATAATACCATTTCGTGGAGCTTTTGCTTTTGTAATATCAGCAATTTGTGTGACTCAATTGAGTAAAATTATATTTGCTATTTATAGGAAATTGAAACAATTGTATCGTATATCTTACAGAAAAATTACTAGCGTTATTTATAAGGGTAAGAAATTATTTAAAATTTAAAAAAAAAAAATTATCATTCTATATACTAATATATGAAAATTATATAATACTTTTCTCTTTTTTTTTCTCCATGCATTAGTGGATCTAAATAAAAGTCCTAAACTTTATAAATATTCTATGAGATTACTATACGGAGATGCTTTAATTTTAGTTGCAAAAATTTGGAAATTATCTTATATAAATATAAATGGGCATTTATCTGGAGAAAATATATACCCTGTTTTAAATAATTTATTTGAAAAAAATCTTGGTACAGGCTTTTTTGATTTTAGTCAATCACTATGTAAATATGTTTTGGAAGCTTTAGAAGATTTAAAATTCATAGATGTAAGTTGTTGATTTTGTGAAATAAAAAAAAAATAAATATATAAATTTCTCAAAATATAATTTCATTTTCATATAAAAAATTTACATTATTTAAAAAATTTATTTATTTTCGTTGATATATATATTTATATATATACTTATTTATTTATTTATAGAGGAAAGATAACGATATAAGTGAAAATTTTACACATAAAAATAAAACATTTAAAACAACCCTACTACTTCTTAAAATTACTAGAAAGGCTCTATATTATGAGGAACCTTACTTGAAATTAGCTGTTGCAAATTTGTTAACAAAATTTTATACCTTGATATTAGTTAATATAGATCATATTAGCAGGATGAATCCAAAAGAACATTTTTATAACGACATAGAATCAGAATTTAAATATATATATAGAGAGCAACAAAATGAACTATTTTTGCAAAAGCTTGCTTCTGATATAATAAGAAAACCATTCATTAAAAGAAATATCACTAGAATTAATAAGGGTTGTATTGAACTCACCTTGGCTATTATTAAGATAAAATTATTTCATTACAAGCCCATGTTAAAAGGACCTTATTCTAGTTTATACTTTGATAAATCACTAAAAAAACAATTAGATACTTCAATAAAATTAATCATTAATGGTTCAGTGGGAATTATATCAAGTCTTGCTAATTATGGAGAAAAATATAACATTCTTAAAAAGTGTCCTTTTGAAATAATTAAAAATTTAGATGAATCATGCGATTATACTACATATGAAGTTAAAAAAATGCTATTTCCAATTAAAATTTTTATAAATATCTTAATTCCTTTATTTTTAAATTATAAGGATGTATTAATAGATAAAAAAATTGTAAATGATATTGTTATTTTTTTTAAAGTCATTATTGATATAAAAGAGATACACTTATATGAATATATGAAAAAAATTATAAATATGTTAAAAAAAGAAAAAGGTGAAGATGCTAAAGATATTATTTATGTAGAAGAAATAGAAAAGATAGTTATTGAAGAATCTAACAAAGTTATAGATGAAATAAACAGTGATAAAAGAAACTCATTTGTATTTCAAGATTATTCTATTAATGATGGAACTATATATTTGCATAATAAAGACGGGAATCAATTTAAATTTGAATTTAGAGATGATCATATAAAAGATAACTTTTTAAGATTAATGCTTGAACATGATCCTCAAAATCCTTTCAAGTATCAAGTCCCTCAAATTATTTTCGATCCTTCTGATAGTAACAATGGGAGTTTAATAGTAGGTTCATCCGATAACACATTTGAAGGGAAAATAATTCCTTCTTATATGCATATTAGTGAAGATGATGACAATTTAGTCGTTGAGGCAATTCATGGAGTATTATGGTCATCGGGAATGGATCAATTCAATGCTCATATTGTAAAATTACATTAATAAATTTAAATAAATATATATATTATTTTATTTGTTTATTTTTTAATTGATTTATTATTTTTTTTTTTTTTTTTTTTCTTTTAGTTTTCTTCAATGATAGGCTCGGTTAAGCAAACTTTTCACAGAGCTTCATCATGGAAAAGGGCTATTTTAAATATGGTTCCTACTGAATTTTATGATACACATAGAAGACTTATGGAAAAAACGTATCAAGAAAAAGATCAGAAACAAAACGTATTTATAAAAAGAATTAAAAAATATAGGTTTCAATTTAATAGAGAATCTTTTTCATTTATGTTCAGAACCTTTTTAGAAAATGTTTTAAATAAAATAAATTTTTATGATGCAGAAGAAGCCATGATTATACTGGTTATGTCAGCTTTATATTCCGTCTATAAAAATATTGAAAAATATAAAATGCCTTTAAATGAAACATATAAATTATATCAGCAGAAATTGGTAGAATCTTATTATCACGTCTCTAAATATTCACATAATTATGAAACATATACGATAAATTTAATAAAAAAAATGAATCAAGATAATGAAAAACTAGAGAAAATTAAAAATGTAAGTGAAGTAAAGCTTTCACTAGATGATGATATTGTGAGAAATACAAAATATCTACAATTAGAAATACAATCCAGGGAAAAAGAAAAAAGTGATATTCTTAAATATATAACATCTCGTTATGGGGAAATACCACACTATGAACACTATCTTCATTTACCAGCGCAATGTTTATTTTTACTTTATTTTTCGTATGAATCATTTTTACGAAATAATATATATGGAATTGAAGATGTTGTAAATCTGTTAAGGAAAAGAAATGTTATCAAAAAATCTATAAGAAATATGAATATTATACAAGGTGATAATACAAAATTTTCATCTATTACTCATAAAGATTTAATACAAATACTTTGTTCAACTCATCTATTTCTAAAAAAAGAAAATGTTTCTCTTGATGATATATATAAAGATGAAAATCTTGATAATGTTATACATCACCTATTAATAATAGTCTCACTTTTAAGGATAGAAAAAAAAACTGACAGATATTCTTGGAAAAAATATTTAACTATAGAAAAATCTTTAGATCAAAGAAAAAAATTATACAAAGCCCCTCTTAGATATCTATATTTAAAATTGTTAAAAGTGCAAAGGTTTTTTGCGTCTATGAGAAGACGAGTATTGTTAACAATAGGAAAACGAATGAAGAAGAAAAGACTTATAAATATATTAAGACCTACTAGATTTTTTGAAATAATAGAAAATGCTGAAGTTATTAATGAGAGTTATCCGCGTGCATATATTAAATTTGAAGATATTCTGATTTTTTCAAATGTATTCCATAAATTCAGAAGTTCTATTCTAAGATATACTAAGGATAAACAAAGTATAAGAGAAATAGTAAATAATTTTAAATTAGCTCCAAATACATCGAAAAACAACGAACAATTATTATTGAAAATATTTGAGAATTTAAATTTCCTAATTAAAAAAAAGTTAAAAATAAATTTACATAATTTAAGAATAAATAAAGAGGATCTAGAAAAATATATAGAAAATAAAGATAGCTATTTATTAAATGAAGTAAATTTAAATCAAGAATTAGAAGAGTATTTAACTCAATTAATAGGGTTTATAAAACTTTTGACAGACATGAATTTTACAAATCAGTTATTTTTAAGAAACTTTTATAATTTTATAAAGTTATATGCATTAACAGGAGATTTAAGTTATTCAATAAACATTTCTTCTATTTATTTGTGTAGTAAAAATTACTTATATTTTATTTTGAATTCAATTGAAGAATTTGAAAACTTCAAAATATTTATAGAAAAATTAAAAGAAAAACATGACTTTAAAAGATATCATTTGGATCCTTATAATTTTAATATTCAATGCCATTCTACAGATAATATTAAAACTTATAAAATTTTGTTAAATGACCTGATAAAATTGAATAAATATGCTAACATTATTCAAACTGAACTTCCTAAATTTTATAAAGATTACTTAATTTTTAATTTATTTTACGATAATATAGATATAGAAAATTTAAATTTAATTTATGATAGAATGAGAAAAACTAATCAAAGTCATGTTCCTTCACAGGAAAATATTTACCTTAGTGGTCCTAAAAACTTTTCCCAAAATATTTCCTTTGATGATATAGACAAATTAAATGAATCATTTAAAAACTATTTATATTTAGAAAAGTTTCTAGAGAACACAAATATCCCATCTATTCCATTTGAAAATTTTATGCTGACAAATGAAAATAATAGGGTCTTTTTGCAATTTACAAATAAAGCTACAACGCCACTTATTTATAAAGAAAATATTTTAGATCAATTTACAATAGTTGGAAGATCAATGGTTAGTGAATATAATAATAAAGTGAAATGTTCCTTTGTTAATTATCCCTCTAATTTATACTATTGGCTTGTTTTAAATCCTGGAAAACCAAACATTGAAGCTATTAGCAAAACAGGTTTAATAAAAGAAGAAGATTTAAAACCTAAACCAGAACATATAGAAGATGAGGATGAAATTAAAACGGATGAAGAAAATATTTTGGATAATTTATTTTTTGATCCTAATAAAGAAAAAAGTTCTGATGATATTAATTCAGATGCATCTACATCAGCTGAAGACGATTCCAAAAATAGTGAACCAGAATTAACAACAGATGATTTAGAAAAAGATCTCTCAGAAAAGGTGATGCCAAAAACACATGAAGATAAAGTTGTAAAAGATAATATAAATACAAATGAAAATGATAATCTTTATAATCTCAACACACAATATGTTGTGACAGAATCATTGAATGATAGCAAAAATATAGACAATTCTACAGACGCATCAAGTAAGGAAATAGAAGAAACTACTGATGATAAATCATCTGAACAAATAACTAATCCTTATTTATTTTTAGAAATAAAACATAATGAACACATTGAAAATAATCACAAATTGAATACAGAAAATAAACAAATTAATTTTCTTGAAGCAACAAAAACTGATAGATTACCTTTTAATTCTACAATGATAATAAATAAAAATAAAAAAATTGTTAATAATAACTACGGTTTCTTTAATAGACCATATAATATATATGTTCCTGATCATGGTATTTTTAGGAATTTTCATATGGTAATGAAACTAATTCAAACTTTAATATCAATGAACAAATTTTCCGTAATTAGTGCTGATTCAATTATAAGAAAAGGAATAGAAAGAATGAGGAAAAAAAATGATAAAAACCTAGCACAAATTTTGAATCCTTTTATACATAAAATGTTATTAGATATAAATCTAACAATACAAAAGTTGAAGTCAAATAGTGAAATGGAATATAGAGGCCCAAATACCACAATACTCAGTTTGTATAAACTAATTGAATTTCAACTATTTAATCAATACTTAGTTTATCCACCTATAAAAAGATTAAATGAAAAAGAATTGAAATACGTTTTAGATATTATAAATGAAGGATATTATTTCTATATACAAAAATTATCAACGAAATTAAGAAAAAATAATATTAATAAAGATAAAATATTAAAGTTCTTTTCTTATTTTGATGAGTTCAAAAATATACTTGATGAAGAAGGAATCACAGGATTACATGATTTGTTCATAAATTCACTTACATGTAAAAACATTAAATGCTTTGATCATATATTTAATATCTATATAGTTGAATACTACAACCGTAATGTTACAAAATTATTAAATAATGAAAATTTAATTAATATGTACACTAAATTCATTCTTGATGAGAATGCTTTAGATGTTTTGCAAGATGCTCATGATATATATTACATTACAAATAAAAAAAACAGAAGTTCAATAAGAAAAGAAGATTCGACGGAATCACTTTATAATCCACAGTTGTCTCGCAGAGAATTCTTATTTAGTTTACTAACATTTGGAGAAAAATACGAACCCTTGCACGATATGTTCAATTTATTCAATATAAGACATATATACATAAATATTAGTTACATGTTACTTAGTAAAAAATATAGAATTAAAAGATCTCTTAAGATATTTTCACATAAATATAGGATTTCCAATTTTCTAAAGACTATAAAAAGAGATAATGTGTATATTCCTTAAATTAAACTTATTTAGTAATTTAACAATTTAACTATTTCTTATATTCTTAACGTTCTTAAAATTTTTTTATTTTTTTTTTTAAAATATGTAAAAATTTTTAAATATGTTATATTATATCAATTGTTCATTTTTAATGTACGTATAATAATAATATAGTATGCCAATTTTATTTATTTTAGAAATTTTTAACTTTACAGGAAATTTTTTTAGAGAAATTATAAAAAAAAAATTAAAAAAAAAGTTATCTTTTTTTTTTTCCCTAGAAAAAATTTTCATAATCTTCAAAAGCAAATAAAATTTTTTAATATTTAAGCTAATTATTTAAATATGTATATATATATATATATATATATATATATTATTTTAAATTTTTCATTGAATGAATTTGTTAATTTAAAATTTTTATATAAACAAAAACAATAATTTGTAGTAATATAGAATATCTCAAAAAAAAAAAAAAGAAAAATAAAGTATAGAAATAATTATAATAAAAAAAAGATTTTTTTATAAAATAACATATAAAATTTGAGAAAATTTTTATATATAATGACTCACATTGTTGCAAAACATTCATTATTTAATATACTTTTACTATATTATAAATTTATAATATAGTTCGGTGAATAATTTGAAAATATATATAAAAAAAAAAAAAAAAAAAAACTATAAAATAAATTAAGAATTTTTTATATTTATTTAAATTGTAAATTCTCAAAATCTTAATTAAACATTGTCTAATTTCTTTTTTTAAAAACTGTAATAAGAAATGTTTAAAAATAAAATACAAACTACTTAATTATAATACATTTTATTATTTTTTATAAATATGTAGTATAAAAAATAAAAAAAATTAATTTTTAGTATCATACAAAAAGCATTTTATGAAAAATAATTTCCTTAAAATATTTTATAAAAAATGAAAAAAAAGTTTAGTAATGAAGAAAAAAAAAGAGTTTTTTATTTTAAAAGAACATCTTTTAATAATATTTATATTATGAAATAAAAAAATATATTAAAAAGATATAAATTAAGATATTTATAATCTTTTATATAATTTTTATTAAAATTATATTTCTTTTTGAATTTTAATATTTATTGTAAATTATTTTTAAAACAAAATAATTACTACTTTTAATTTTTTAGTGATTATTTTAAAATTTTCATGAGTATTAATATTCATAAAAATTTTTACACTAAAAAAATATTAAAAACTTTGAAGTTTTCAGTAATTTAATTATTTTAAAAAATAAAAAATTCTTAAGAACAATTATATATAGTGGTTTCGTAGTGTAGTGGTTAGCACTGAGGACTTTGAATCCTCCAACCCGGGTTCGAGTCCCGGCGAGACCTTTCAATGTAACTTCATAAATGATTTTTAATTTAAAACTATCTTTATAGTTACTGTGTTTTCTACATTTATATATTGATTTATATTCTATTTTAAATAACCATATTTAAATAGGAAATGTATTTTTTAAATCTATCAAGTAATGAAGGTATAATTACCTGTAAACTTATTATACATACCAATATTCAAAAGATAAAAATTTTCTCTGAATATTTTTTCTGTTATATATTTTTAAAATTTAAAGATATATTAGTTTTTTCTCCTAATTTTGTTCTTAAAAATAATATTCAAAAAGTAAATATACTTAATAAAAAACAAAAAAAAATAAAAATTACATTTAAATTTAAGAAAAATAAACATTTCTTTGTATTGCAGAATATTAAAACTAACAAAAAAGTAACCTATAGTTTTTTTTATTCCTACTTTTAATAAAAAAATTGAAACATTTGAACAAAAATTTTTAGTTATCCTTTTTATTAGTAAGTTAATTTTTTTTTTTTTAAACTTACATGTCATTTAAAATGATTAATTATTTAATAAGATTAACTACATACTCAAAAAAAAACGAAAGAAATGAAGCCTATTTAAGATAAAATTATTTTACCCTTTGAACTTGCTTTTTCTTAAAATATATATATATAAATTATGCCTTATATACAAAGTATTTAATCTTATATATAGGAAGTATTTGCTTATGTTGTGATTTATTATGTAACTTCTCTATTATAATACTTTATATTATTCATTTAAAAAATTAATATTTTTATACAATATAAATAAAAAGAAATTTTTTAATATATCTCTTTATGTTCATTTATGAGAAAAAAATTGAATCATGAAAAAGTTATTGCAATATAAAATAAAAAATAAATTCTTACATAAAAGTATTTTTAGTGAAAATTTATTTATTTAAGGATTTATAAAATTACGGGCACCGAGGATCGAACTCGGGATCTCCTGCGTGTTAGGCAGGCGTCATAGCCACTAGACCATGCCCGCTATAACTTTTTTCTCTTCCGCATATGAATAATTTATATATGTAAAATATAATTTTAATATAAATATTTTTATAATAATACAGGATTTTTTCTGTAAATAAAAGTATAATTATTTATTCAAAGATATGTAATATTTTTATGTATAAGTGAATTACATATAAGAGAAAAATTATATTCTTTAATATAACATTAAATACTTAAAAAAATTCTAAATTTTGAATGATTATCTTTTCCTATTTGAAAACCTTTTATAAATTTTTAATCTTGTCTCTATAATTTATTTTTTATTTCATTAAGTAATTCACTTATTCTTTACTTATATTAAAATTAATATATTCTATATATATTTATTTAATAATTCCTGAAATAAAATTGTGTTCAAAGATATATTAATATTACATAATGATATTAACATTTTATATGTGATAAGATAATTATCTATAGGAAAATGTTGAGATAAGCTCAATAAAAAATATTCTTAAATTTTTTATTAGATCTTGAATTTTTAATACATTAAAAGATAAAAATATTTTAAAACTTAATAATGTTATTTTTAATAAAATTTTAACTAACTTTTTAACATAAAATGTTTTATATTTTTTCTTAGAAAGATATGTGCAAAAAGTCTACATTTTTTTTTTTTTTTTTTATTATATTATATACACTTCAAGGTAATTTTATTATTTTCAGTTTTGTTTTTAATTTAATTTTACATATACATATATATCATTCTTATTAATTCTGTCTTAAAAAAAAATTTTATATGCCATGAAAAAAAAAAAAATCAGTTTAATTTCAGCATTTTGTCTATGAAAAAATGGAAAATTGTAATTAATATATATGCTAATAAATATAATAAATTTTAAAAACTTTCTATTTCTTCAAATAAAAACTCTATTTCAATGAATCTTCAAATTATTTTTTTTTACATTTTATTTTTTGATATAGTATTTTTAATAATTCATAAATATTATGAAACATCACTAATTTTTTGTATCTTTTTATCTTTAGATCTTTATAAAAGTAAAATAAATGAATCTTACAATTTTTATGCTACATTTTTTGTTTTTCGTTAATTTAAAAAAAAAAATTATTCATTAATCAAATAAGTAAAACATTTCTAGGGATTTATTCAACTGTAATATTTTTTTTATTAATCATAAAAATTAAAAAAATAGGAAAATTATCAGTTAAGTTACAAGGAAAACTGATAATTATGAACTTTACAAGTTTTTTTTTTTTTAAAATAAGGAAAAAGGAAACATTATTATATTAATTTTTGTTGATGATAACAAAAATTAAGTTTTCCTTCTGCACAATTATGCATTATAAGAAATGCATTTTACAATATACTTTTCAAAAATGAAAATACAAAATAACTGAATAATGAAAAACATTATTTTTACAAAGTAATAATTTTACTCAAACTTATCTAAGAAAAAATAAATTTTTGTATATTTTAAAATAAATAAGAAAGATTATATAAAAACAGATGAATCCTGACATAATATACAAATGTAATTGTGTGTTTATATAAAAAAGGAAAAATTATTATATAGTTTTAAACAGTGAAGATTTACATAATAAAATGAAAATACAAATCTCCAATTAATAAATAACCTAATAAATATATATTTAATGAAGGAAAATATTACAATATTATTTCTGGTCAATCAAAAATAATTATATTTTTTTAAATTACAGAATGGATATAAAGAAAATAATAAATAAAATAAATTATTAATCAAAATTTGTTTTTCTAAAAGCTTATTACCTCAATTTATAATATTACATACGTTTTATGCATTTGATTATACCTTAAAATTTATTCTTATTAACTTGAAGTATTCCATTATAAAACATTTTTCTCTTTTTCATAAGTTGCTTTTTCTTTTAGTTTTAATTTATTTATATTGTCATATACTATATGACTATTTATTTTCCCTTATTTCTTTAATCGGAGATAGGAAGCTTAAAATATAATAATTATGTTAACAATTTTGTTTCTTTAAGTTTTCTTTTTTTTTTTTTTTTTTTTATATTTTCTAATGATTATAGTAATATTCATTAAATTTTTTTTATTTTTCAAAGTTTTAAAAGTTGATGTTTTTTATATTTTCTAATGTAAATAATTAATTTTTAAATAAAAATTACCATCTTTTAATTATTTCAACTGGAAAAATATTAGATAAAAAATATTTTGAATCATAAACTTTTTAAGTTTAAATGTTAATTTTATTTTTCTATACTAAAAGGATATTTTATATATAAAGTCTGCCTAATTTTTTTCTTATAGTATTATACTTCGAGAATAATATGCAAGTATATACTAGCATAATTTTTTATATGTTTCTTAATGTAAATATTTATATTCTTTTAATTAAGTTTCATTAGTATTTCCATTATATTTTAATTTTTTTTGATTTAAATTTTTTAATTTTTAATAATTACATAAACATAATATACCATTTTCATTTTATATTTTTCAACGAATTTATTCTTGATTTCTTCTTTCCGTATAAAAAAACTTTCTGCATAGTTCTTTAAGAATCTTTTTAAAAATTAAATTTTCTCAATTCTTTTTAATTACTTTAAAATTTATTTTTTAAAAATATTTCTTGATATGTTCAGATAAACTTAAATTTTTTTATAAATTTTTAATTTTTTTTTTATATTTAAAAATCATTTCCTCAATAATATCTTATCTATAAACAACCTTCTCTAAAAAAAAAAAGTAAAAACGGCATCACGTTAATGTTGTTTTTCTTAAATTTTGCAAACCATAAGAAAAAAAAAATTACTGAAATGGAACAACTTTAAATTATGATTTTTTAATGTTTTATTATGTCCTATGATTAATTTAACATATGAAATCCAATATAATTTTAATTTCTCAAATTTTTCATGAACTCATTTAAAATATTTTTTAAAATTTTCTTTTTTATGTATTATATTTTATATTAATAAATAAAAATACTATTTACAAATTATAAATATAAAAGTAAAAAAATAAATATTTATATATATATATATATATATTATATAATTCTTTTAAAATTTTATTTTATATGCTGAGAATTTTATAAACTATTTTTTTTTTTAAATAATTGAAAGATGATTCAATATAGTTTGAGTTAATAAAGTTTTTATGTGTGTATAAAAAAAAATTAAAAGATTATTTACATGTATATTTTAAATTATAGAATAAACAAATTTTTTTAATAATTTTACTGTTTTTTTTTTTATTATTTAAATATTTTTTTGATGTATTTAAGCCATTAATTATAAACTTATTATATATTAAAAAAAAAAAAAAAAAAAAAATAAATATATTTTTCATTATAGAATGAATGAAATATTTACTAATAAAAATGAAAACAAATTGATAAATAAAAACAGTCAATATGAAAAAGATGATAATTTTAAAAATAATATTATAAATGTACCAGAAATAATAAGTAAAAATGAAATAAAAAACGAAGAAAAAAATTTTGATTGTATTATTTCATTAAATGAAGCTAAAAAGCGTCGATTATGTGAAGAAAAATTGGTAAAGAGTAATAAAATGAATTGTACTGATAGTAAAGAATTTGATGCATATAATTTTGATGAAATGATAATTAAAAATAATTATAATGCAGAATATAGTAAATATGTTAACATTAATAATATGAAATGTAATGATAAAAATTATAATTCTGAAGATATGAGAAAAAAAAAAAATATAAATAGTAAGAAAAAATTAACAGTGACAAACGAACAGGGATATAATATATGTAGTGATGATTTAATAAAAGTACAAAATATTAAAAATGATTTTTTAAAAAAAACACTCATATCTGATTATGAAAAAGACTCTTGTTTGAAAAATAACCAAGGTTTGTTAAATGAGAGCATTAATAATTTTGAAAGTGATAAAAATTTAATAAATAATTATAAAGATAAAAAATATTCTGATAAAGATAAAAGTCTCTTATTCCATGAAAGTGAAAAAGAGAACAATATAAATACAACAAATTCTATAAATATAAATAACTCAGAGAAAGAAATGAGGTATTCAAATAGTAAAACTGTTGAAAATTATGAAGAACATAAAAATAATATTAATAATCAAAGTGACTCTATTAAAGTGGATATTTTTTATTCAAGTAAAAGCGAAAAATCATTAGGTGAAAGTGATGAAAATAGTTCATATGACTCGGTTGAGGAATTTTATGAAAATATATGTCAATCGGATGTTCCTCTAGATTTTTATAAAAATTTTTTAAAAACAAAAAATTCAAACCTTTTAGAATCAGATAGTTATTTAGATTCAAAAAATGATGCAACTGAAGAAATTAACATTTTGAATACTTATATTAAAAGTGTCATAGAAACATCACAAAATTCTACATCTTTAGATGTTGATAATAAATTAATTAATATTCTTTCCTTGTCATTTTTAACTTTCATTGATCATGTAATATATGATTCCCATATTTATGCTCTAAAAGATGAATTCTTAAAAGGAGAAGTAATAAAATCTAAAAGCGAAGATGAAGTTAACTGTAAAGAATATGAAAAGGTAAAAGATTTATATAATTTTATTCCAGCAGATAGAAATAAAATAAAAAATAAAATGAATGATTCAAATGAAGAAAATAATATTATTAATGAAAATACATTTAATAGTAAATTTCAAAAATCATCTACAAATTCAAGTATAGCTAATTGTAATGATTCAAAAGAAAGACATGAAAAAAATTCAAATATGAGAGAATCGAATAATGATGTAGAAAAAAAAAGAAAAAATAATATCAGTATGATCTATAATCCAGACGTAATTAATTTATGCTTAACTAACTTATATAGTCAAAAATTAGTTGATAAAATTATGGATAAAAAAAAAAATAATAAAGAAGTGTCAACTTTTAATAACTTAGTTTTATCAAAAAATGAAGATATATTAACTGTTGATAAAAAAGCAGAAAATTTAAAAAAGTACGATAGTGATTTAGGAAACGAAAAAAAAGTAGAAAAAGAAATTTTGGAGTCAGAAAATCATATAAAAGAAAAAAATGATGAAATGAAAGAAAATATAAATTTTAATAAAAATGAAAAACCACAGCTAACTAATTCAAACGATAAATTATATCAAAGAAAAGTAATAATAAAACAAATAAATGATAAAATAAAAAAAAACAATAATAATATGAGTAAATTTTTAAACTATCAAAAATATTCTCTGGAGGATTTATTTGAGATTTAAAAGGTGTTATGGAATAATTTAAAAACATTTTTTTTTTTAATATTATTTTAGATTACCATTTAACAGTTTTTATATTGTTCATATTATCCTACCTTTTTCATTAATTTATGAATTCTCTTTATATTTTTATTTGATGTTCTAGAACATATTATTTTTATTTTTTATTTTATTTTATTTTTTTTTTTTTTTTTGCTTGTTTTCATAGAGATAATTAAAACTTGTTTATTTTATTATTTTTTTTTTTTTTTTATAGTAAGAAAATTTACTTTTATAAGATAAACATTTTAAATTTTTTAAGATATTTATAATATTTTTTTTCTTGCCATACATAAATTCTTTTTTTTTTTTTTTTTTTTTTTTTTTTAATTAAAAAAATAGCAATTGTTTTTTATTTAAATAAAAAAAAAAAAAAAAAGTTACACATATTTTAGAATTGAAAAAATTTAATGATTAAATTTTTCTTTTATTTTTATTAAATAATTATCTTAAATCTATTAATTCATATTTATATTTTTAATATTGAATTTCACAATTTTTCGAAGTATATAAATTTCTTATTCTTATAAAATCATACCTTAAATTTATTATTTTACTAAAGAGTATGTTGAAAAAAAATGTAGATATTATCAATTTTGTTTATGTTATTCAGATTGTTCTTTTTCAAAAAATTACAAAATTTGATAAATTAATTGTTAATGTAAAGAATTTTGCAGCAATACTCTAAAGAAAATATTTTTTTCTCATATAAACCTTATATATATATATGTATGCATATTTACACTCATATATAATATTTTTAAGAAGAAAAAAAAAAAATGGATTAATTTTACTCTCGTTAATATTTGGGGAAAATAATAGATAAATATAATGAGGAAGGAAAATATATTAATTTTATCTTTTCTATTATTTATTCAGGTTTATTTATGTAAGAATGTTAAAGTAAGAAAATTTAAAGGAAGTGTTTTTTATCTCTTCAGAGAAATTAAAATATACAAAAAAAAAGTTAATTTCCAAGTAAAAAATAGTTGTACATTTCTAACTGGAATAAAGGTAATCATGAGGATTTGTATTAAACAAATAATAATAATTATAATTATTTCTTTTTTTTTTTTTTTTTTTTTTTTAATTTATATAGCCAAGTGGTGATATTCATTTAGGGAATTATATAGGATGCTTGCACCCTATTATAAATTTAGAAGCTAAAAGAAAAAAAAATTTTATAAATGAAAAAAAAGAACAAGTAATAAAGTTAAATAAAATAATATTAATAGCCGATCTTCATTGTTTAACAAACTTAAACAATATATTTTCTCTAAAAAAAAATGTTTTGGACACAATGAAAGTTATTATTTCTTTAATAATAGATATGTTTATTAAGAAAAAAAAATATATAGATATCTACATTAATGATATTAAGTTAGAAAAAATATTAAAATTATTTAAATGTGATTTCGATTCAAATATCAGTAAGTTTTTACCTTCAAGCAATTCGAATATATCTCAATCCTTCTTTGATTATGAAAAGGAACTCAATAATTTAAATATAAATAATACACATAACATTAAGGATCATATATTTAGTGAAAGTACAGAGTCTTATAATAATTATGAAGAGAATACAGATTATCATCATGAAAAATATTATGAAAAAAATATACACCAAAAACATTTTTTCTATATTTTTAGGCAATCAGATATTCAAGTTCATACTTCTTTATATTATTTAATAAATTCTTTTACATCCATTAATTTGTTAAATTCACATGTACATATAAAAACAAGTGGTTATAATAAATCTGTTTCCTTATTATCTTATCCTAACTTAATGTTATCGGATATCCTACTTTATAAGCCAAACTATTTAATAATAGGATTAGATCAAAATAAAAATGTGGAAATAATTAAAAAAATATGTAAAAAAATGAATAACTATTTTCCTTCTGTTGCTAAAATGCCAGAAATTTATTCTCGTAAATTTAATATAGAAATAATGAATTTAGATGGTCACAGAAAAATGAGTAAAAATGATTTATTAGATAACCTAAACTTTTATAAGATTATTTATCTATTTGATGAAAAGGATATAATAGAAAAGAAAATTAAAAAAAGCAAAACAGATAATTTTAATTATTTAAAGTATGGAGAAGCTAATAGAAGGGAAATAAATAATCTCATTAATATATATATTTTTTTTTATTATTATAAAATTAAAAGCATTAGTGAGAAGATTAAAAAATATCACAAAACACTCTATTCTCTCGAAAAAATATTTTTAAATGAGACAGAAAAAAATTCTGAAGGAAATAAAACCACTTACGAATTTTCTCATAATGAGAAAAGTACAAGTAATGATATTAAATATTTAAATTTTTTTAAGAATAGCATAGATGTAAAAAACAGTTTAAACATAATTAATGAGGATAAACTTTTTTTCAAAAAAAATAACATAAACCCAAATTTTAATGAAAAAGTAGTTAATAATATATTGTCTTCTTATAATAATAATTATTACAACTTTAAAAATGATTTAACTTTACTAATTTCCTATCATTTTTTAACATCAAAATATTACTATAACTTCCTTCTTTCAAAAGATAATTTAATAAATAAAATATTAAAAATGGGAAAAAGAAGTCTTTCAATAAGAGCAATTAAAACATTTAAGGTAAACAGTAAAAAAAGTTAAAATATTTTAATTACTTTAAAAAATTAAATATATACATATATATATATATATTCTTTTTTCGTTAGGACTTCAAAAAAAAGTTAAACTTGTAAAATTTTACCAAAAAAAATTATATTTTATATTATTTATATTCCTCTTTATTCAGTGTTTTATACCTTGAATAAATCTTTTTTTTTTTTATTTTTTTTTTTTACTTTTGTATAAATATATTTAAAATGTTTAAGTATATTTATTTATGAATACGAGAATTTTTTTGTGTATTTGTTAAATTCATTTAAAGATATATAATAATTTGAAAATTTTTTTTTTTTATATTTTCTTATTACTTTTTAAGCTGTATATGAAATTATTTTTAAATTTCTCAAGGTAAAATAATAAAAAAAAAAATTATTTAAAAATAGAAGAATTATGAAAAAAGAAAAAACTAAAATAAAACATTAAAGCAAAAATTTGTAAATAAAAGTTGTGTAAATAAAATGTCAAAATGAATTTATAAAAATAATAGTTATATTTATTTAGACAAATTTATATTAAATGCGACATTACCTAAAACATTTTTTTTAATAAATAAAAATATTTATAAAAAAATATAGTAAATGTTTTTCTTATTGTAATGATAAAAACACAATAGAAGGGTGGAAAAAATTTAAATAAAAATAAAAGACCCTACAAAAATTGAAAAAGAATAACTTACATTTTAAAGTTACCTATTAATCTAAAATTTCTAGAATACTTTTTTTAATGATATTAATAAAAATATTTTTATGAGAAGAATTACACATAACACAAAATAAATTATAAAAGAATTTTTATTAGTAATTAAATTATCTTCATTTCTATATTTAAACTTTCATATTAGCATTAAACATAATATCTTTTTTATGTAAATAATTGTCTTTTTATATTTCTTCTTAATACAAGATCTACATTTTAAATGTTTATTCTTATAAATATTATATCAATATAATCTTTTTCTATAACATATCTTTTATTATCTTATTAAATTAAATTTACATATTTTCATTTACAGGTTTTCCCTTTTTTTTCTTTCATTTTTTTTTTTTTTTTTTTTTCAAATATTATTTTTTCATCTATTTGAATTTTTATTATCTTAATTAAACTTCATGTTCTTTTTATCATATATATGTTATTTTTTCTAATTTCTAATAAAAATTAATTATTCATTTACTTTATGAATTTGTAAATCCTTAATTTATATTATTCAAAAGTACAATTTTTCTCACAAAAAATTTTTAAATTCCTTATTCTTGCAATTCTTTTTTTTAGATATTGTTTAAAAAGGTTTCCTAAGAATGACATATTTTCTTTTTAATAAATAAAATTGCTTTAGTTTAACTATCTAAAACTATTTTATTTTTTTGAGAAATATCCTTAAATTGCCTTTATTATAATTGTATATTCCTTTTAATTAGTATTTATTTTTCTTCTGATAACTTTAAACTTCTATTATTAAAGCTTATGAGATTATCGTTATTTTTTCTTTTTTTTTTGTACAGTATTTTGAAAATTGAGCAAGCATAAGATAGCGTTATCAAAATTACTAAAGTTTAAAAAATTTACACAACTTCTTACATATATTTTTAAATTTTCTTTATTAATTTTTTTTAATTTTTTTAAATTTGTATATTTCATGTTATCCAGATACTTCTTAATGCAATAATTTACATTACTCATTTTTTTACTATTACTTGCATTATTGCTTTCATTATGAGATTTAAAGTTAAAATCATTATTTATTTCTCTTTTGCTTTCATTATCTTCTTCATTAAAGTATTCAATACTGCAAGATTTAGTATTTGCATTTTCATCGGTAATTTCTTTATCATTTAAATATAGCTTTAAATTATCATTACTTTCAATAGAAGATTCTAAATTTCTAGTTATTGAATTTAAATTATTTTTTATTTTGAAACTGCTATTCATACCACTAATATTTTTGTTGATTCTTCTTTTTTTTAATAACTCATTAAAACTGTTTGTTTTTTTAACTACATTATTTGTGAAATAATTTAGAATTTTTTTTTTTTCGTTCTCAAAAGAATATGAATTATAATCATTATATATAATTTTATTTTCTAATATATTTTCATCATAACTACTTTTCAGATTATATATACTATCATTAAAAAAATATTCACTTTTATTAGAACTAAAAGAAACACTTCTTATAGCTTTTAAAACATTTCCTTCTTCTCCTAAATGAGTTTTATTAAATTCATGACTTATTTCATCTATATTATTATAACTTATTATATTATCTGAAGAATATCCTTTTTCTTTATTAATTATCAGTTTATAATCTTTTAATAAAAAATTTGTTCTATTCCTTTGTATTTTTACTATTTTATTATTTTCTTTTTTATTTACAATTATGTGTAAATAATTATTCTCATTTAAATCAGAATTAGATTTAGTGTTATATAATTTGTTAATTCTACCTATGTTACCACTATTAAATAGATTTGAGTTTATATAATTTTCCTTCTTTGTTGTTACAACTTCACTATTTTCAATGCTTTTAGATTTAATAAGCTTCTGCTTAATTAATTTTTCCTTTTTTACATTGATCATTAATTCTTTCCCTTCTAAACATTGTTCACTAAAACTATGATTAATGTTAGAATTCAAAATGTTATTTTTTTTTTGTTTGCTTTCATTTTTATTTACATTTTTATATGAAGAATAAATTTCTTTACCTGAATTAATTTTTTTTAAGTTATTTTTTTTACTATTTTTTTCATTATGTTCAATTAGCTCTTTCTTATGTTTATGTGCTTTTTTCGTTCTTTTTATTTTATTATATTTTTTTTTATACTTATAATCACCATCATTTGCATTATCTTCTTTTTTCTGCTCCATCTTCTTAAACATATTCTCATAATATTGAATTTTTTTCAACTCTCTTGCACTTAGTTGTGGATTAAAAATATCACTATTTCCATTATTTATTTTACCCTCATTTTTCTTTCTTTTTCCTTTACTTTCATTTAATGATTTTCCTTTTTCGTCCTTCATTTTAATTTTTTATAACTTCACAAAAAAAAAAAATACTAAATTCTTAATATTTTTTATAAATACATTATATATATATATAATGACCTTTTCTTATAACTGTTTAATGAAAATTTTTTAATTTCTCCTTATATTTTTATAGTTTTATATGTAAATGTTTTTACATATATATATTTTTTTTTTTTTTTTTTACGATATTATTTTGTTTTTCTTTACATTTTATAAAATTTTTATTTCATAATAATATATTTCCTAATATAAAAAATTTCATTAAATTTTAAACAATTATATAAAAGAAAGAATAAAATCAAATTCATAAAACTTTTAACTGAAATATCTTTTATATTATTTATAAATGTATTTTATGTTTCTTATTTTTAAATATTTTTCATTTTTTATGTTCCTTTATTTAATAAATCTCTTTTTTCATATCTTAAAATTTTTTACTTTTCACATAGCTTTTTAATTTATAACTTTAATACATATTTATAATTTTTAATATTTTTTTAACAAAAGATATTTTTATTAAGGTAAAACTAATTTTATAACTTATAAATAAATATATATTTTTGACTTACAAGCTTTTTGTAAGTTTATATTATTGAGTTGAAAAAAAAAAAAAAAAAAAATTTATTTCATTCTTTCAACTTGAAATAATTTCATTTCATTAATTGTTTTTTAAAACATGTAATTTATTTAACTACTTATAAATTTAGTATAAAAAAGAACAAAGAATCTTATTAAGAATTAAAAATTTTTTTATGCAGTTCTTACAAAAAATAACTTTTTTAATATATAATAAAAAAAATAAAAATAAATTTTATAAAAATAATAAAAAGTAAAGACAAATAGTTTATATTATAAATTAAAATGAAAAATATTTAAAAAATATTTAAAATTTTAAAGAATAAAAAAAGAATTTAAATTAAGAGGGAATTTTTTTTGGTTTATTAGTTGTGTAATACAACTTGAATTGAAACACTATTTAAATGTTTGAATAAAAAATATATTTTTTAAAAAAAATTATAAAAAAAATATACTTGTTATCTAAATTTATCTTTACAAATTAGGATGTTAATTATTTAGTAATATCCAAAAGAAATTTAGAAAAAAAAAAAAAAAAAAAAAGATATATTTCAAAAGTAGAAATTTTTAAAATTTGATCTATTTCCTATAAAAATAATAATCCATTTTATAAATATAATAGTTTAAATCCTATTCATAGTAGAAGATTTTCAAAAAGATAAAAATTTAACTCTTCATTAACACAAAATTAAAGCTAAAATATTATGTCTTTAAGTTTTATTTTTTAAAAAATATATGAAAAAATAACTTAAAATAGTAATGTTATGTCAAAATTTAATAATTCACTTTTTTTTCAAAAAAATAATCAATTATTCATATCAAAGAAAAAATATAAAAGCAAATAACTTAATATTATTAAATTTAAAAAATTATAAATAAATGAATTAAATTATAGGATATTCCTTATTTTTTAAAATATAAAAAATTATATAATTATTTATAATTAAAAAGGATATTTTATTTATGTAAAAAAATTTTCTTCTTTGTAATCCTTTACAAAGAAAATTTAATTTTTTTTATTTTTCTTTTTTGAATATTTATTAAAATTTTTATTATTCTTTTCCAATTTTTTTACCCTTTTAGAGTTTTTTCTTATGTTCATATAATTTTTTTTAAATACTTCATTTTTATTATTCTTTAAAATATTCTTAGAAGAATTATTTTTATTATGAAGAATATTTAATTTTAAGTCTTTTATAATTGCTTGATAACTTTTTAATTTTTTTTTTTCCTCATTATTATTTTTTATTTTTTTATTTTTTTCTAATTTACATACCTTCCTATTATTTTTCGAATTATTGTCATTTTCATTTAATGGTAATTTTTTTTTTCCATTAACTAAATCATTTAACTCATTGTTTTTTTTTGTAGATTTTTTCAAGTCTATTTTTTCTTTTTTTGTTAAAAACCATGTTCTAGGAGGTCTATTTAATATTTCATCCTTATATGTTATAAGATTTTTTATTTTTTCTATTGATTTTTTAGATTTTTCTATTTCCTTTTCTGTCTTTTCTTGTTCTATTATTTCCTTTATTTTCTCTTTATTTTTTTTAAGAATATTATACCAATGCAAAATATTATCTTTAGCAATATTCCTCTTAAAAATTTTTAAATTTTTGTTTTTTTTCAATCCTTTAATTATTTTCTTAACGTGAATTTTTTCTTTAAGTAAGTATAAAGTACTGGCAGTTCCTTTCTTTCCAATTCTTGCTGTCCTACCTATTCTATGAACATACTTAACAACATTAGAAGGTATGTTGTAATTAATAACATAGAGAACATGGTCAATATCTAATCCTCTTGATGCTAATTCTGTAGTTAATAAAAAATTAACTTCTTTTTTCTTAAACATTAAAATGGATTCTATTCTTTTTTTTTGAGTTAATGATCCATGCAATTCTGCACATTTAAAATTAAGCAACTTGAATATTGTATGCATTAAATGAGTTTCCCTTTTAGTTTTAAAAAAAATTATAGCATGATTTTTATAAATGTTACTACACAAATATAATAAGGCAGCTTTTCTGTATTTTTCTTGAACAATATTTACAAATTCTTGATTTAAGTTTTCAGATATTTTAAAAGTTTTTAAAATTTTATCACCTTTTGTAAATTTCTTATCTATTTCACAATTTTCACCACTTTGAATAAAAATAGGATTTTTTAAAGAAAAGTTTACTAATTCTTTTATATCATTTGTTAGTGTCGCTGAAAAAAATAAAATTTGTTTTTTATATTTACATACATCTAATATTTTTAAACATTCTTCCTTAAATCCCAATTCTAATAACTTATCAGCTTCATCAAAAACAACAATTTCCAAAAAATTAATAAAATCACTTGAAGAATTTAGTAATAAATCTAGAATCCTACCAGGTGTACATATAAATATATCCTTTTTTTTCTTATATTCATATTCTTGTTGTTTTATATCTATTCCTCCACAAAAAAGAGAGTAGGTAATTAAAACATATTTCGTTAATGATCTAATAACATCATAGCATTGCAATGCAAGTTCTCTTGTTGGTAATAGTATTAAACTTTTTGTTACAGATAAACTTTTTGGATTATTTTTTCTCATTTTTACATTTGCGCTATGTAATAATCTTTCTAATATTGGCAATACAAAGGCTAAAGTTTTTCCTGATCCTGTTTCAGAATTAGCTAAAATACTTTTTCCTTCTAATGCTAATGGTATAACATCTTTTTGGATAAAAGTTGGATTGTTAAATTTTAATTCATATAATACTTTTAAAAATGGCCTTGATATATATAAATCACTCCACAATGAATTTTTATCTATTATATTATTTTTATTATTATCATCAATGTTAGTATTTTTTAAACTATCTTCGTTATTTTTAATAGATTTTTCATTGTTTATTTCTTTTATTTTCTTTTTGAAATTACTTTTTTTATCTTTTAAAGACTTTTTATTTATTTCATTGTTATTTCTTTTTATCTTTTTTATTTCCTTTTTCTCTATATTACATAGTAAATCTACATTTATTTCTTTGTTTTTTTTATGAATAACCTTTTCTTCTTGAGTCTTTTTATTAGTATATTCTACATTCATTCTATTATATTTTTTTCTGCTTAAATTTTCTTCAATATTGCTTTTCTTATTTTTTATATTAAAAGTTTTATTTGATTTTTCGTTATTTAATTCTCTTTTCATTTTTCTGAATTTGTTATTTATGTTATTTTTCATTCTATGACTTAAATAAAATAAAATAAAATAACATAATTAAAATTATTTACTTTTTTTTCTTATTTTATTAATCATCTTATACTCTTTTATCTTGTATTTTATGTAATATTTTTGATTTATTTTATGCTTTTATTTATTTTTCCTTTTTTTTTTTTTTTATTTTTAAAATTTTTATATTTTGAATATTCTATTAAAGAAAAAACAAGTTAATTACTATAATAAAATAAATTTATGAAATATTTTAATTTAATTATGTTTGATAATTTAAAGGAATTTTTTTTCTGTTTTTTTTTTTTTTTTTTTTTTTTTTTTTTTAATAAAAATAATATTTAACTAATAAACAAAAAT